TATATATATAATATATACATATATATACACACAATAAACATATCGCTCTATTACTTAAAAAAATGATACAAAAAACGTGATTTTTTAGTTACAATATTACGATGAATGAATTAAACATTACCTTATAAATCATCAAAAGTAAACTGTAAGATTAAACTTCATTAAAAAATTGCCAAAATCGTTACGATTTTAATCCCTCAAAAAGGGATTAAAATAAAAATGACAAAAATGTTATTGATGTTAAGAATATATTCTTTTTGCTAATATTATTTGATTAGTCAATAATTTTTTGTCGAATTAAAAGTGTTTCTTTCTAAAAAAAACTTGATTTTTAGAGTTGTGTCAGTTTTTAAGTAAAAAAGCGACACATTATTGATTGTAAATTTATTTGAATAATAAATTCACAATTAATAGCAAACGCAATAAGATTCATTTCTATGAAAATGCAGATTAATCTCGGTTTCATTTATCCTTTATTTTTTTCTAATTATTAAAAAATAGATAAAAAGTTAATCGAGATTAAAGTTAATCTACATTGATAGAAATGGACATAAGTTGTATTCATCAGCGTAATAAGTGATATTATCGTAGGAAATTTAAAGCTTGGCTCTAAAATCGATTTTCGAAACGAGTATTTGACATCTTAATCATAAGCTTTTTTTACGTTTTCGCTTTTTATAGAATTATAGAAAGATAATCAAACTGCAAGAATGATGTTTGAGTTTTACGAACACTAAGGTTTAATAGCGATTATCGAGCTTTCTTTCTAGTATCCATAATATTTGATTCATACAAGTATTTAGATTTAGAGTATTTGTACATTAATTGTATAGAGAAAGAGAATAATGCAGCGAATGAGAATAATGAGACGCGATTATTTGTGATCAAAATGCAGATGTTTGGTGCAAATATACAAAGCTATTCTTAATTACATTGACATATTAATTGAGAATATTCTGTTAATACATTTCAATGAGAAATAAATTGAAGAGCTTATTACAACAGTGGATTAACTCACATTTTGTAAGAACAGAGAGAAAACTTTAAAGTTAAATGCTAAAGTTAATATAATGGAAGATACATTTATTCTCTGTTTTTACAAAATGCATTATAGCTCTCATTTAAGAGAAGTATATAATAATAAAAAAATATTTCTGCGCATCGTGATAACAAATATTTCGATTTCACAACTTTTCCGTTTGTTTCTCAGGCATATTTGCATAAACATCTATAGTCTCTATTTACGAGACTTAGATTCCTGATAAATTTTCTTGATCGCGTCAAGCGAAAGATATTCGTAGTTGAATGCGGTTCATACCGCAACTATATTGTATATTATATCCTATTTTTAGTATGCTCTAAGCAGGTGTTATTGCATCGTGGGAAGTTAGATATAGAGTTTCACTACACGTGTCAAAGTGTAATCGGTGGATTACAGATAACGTAAATGCCCTGTATAAGCAGTTGTGTCTTACTGATGGCCAAGCCATAAAATATTCATCGGGAGAGGAGCTACAATGTTTGTGATCGTTCGCCTTGTAGAAAGCTGGACGTCACGCGGCTAAGCGGAACGATGCAATATAGGATATATTTTAGGGGAGATTGCTTTAAAGTATATTTTTCGACAAAGGATTAGGCACTTTAGCGTGAGATTTAGATCTCTCGTATGCAGGTTTGATTCGTTCCTTTAAATAACAACATATCATAGATTTGTATAAATCTATACAGAATTCGCGCGGTGGAGATGCATATTTTTTCATTTGCGAGGCGTCGTTCGCGCGATTGAGACCAAGTCTCACTTAAAGGGCGGTTTAGACTTAATGCATTAACGAAGTAGTGTCACCGAAGCAACATCTAGTGTATACGATACCAGAAATTGTACAGATATCTATATATACATACATATATATATTTTTCTTTAATCGCGATGTATTTATATATGAAGTGGACAAGTACAGCGAATCAATGTGATGATCTATTCACCATCGGCAGATGGCATATATTATTTTGATTCCTATCACTGGGATGGTGCACCAAGCAGTACACGCGTGGCTGCACAGAATAAATTATATTAACTTTCTATGCACAGTGTCTTATTTTTATATATCCTTCTTTCCTCTCTTTTTTATCTAAATGTTGTATTTATGTCGTAATAATGGAATATTTTCATGATCAGGAAGATAAAAACGATTTCTTCAACTACAAAAATATCAAGGTTTAAATTATTAAATAAATTTATCATCAGTCAAGTCAATTAAATTGTTAAATTGAATCGAAATCATATCAACTGTAATGAAACCGTTATATTTTTATATACAAACAAGAGCTATCTACAGACATGCGTGTCGATTTATTACATTAGTTGCTTATTACTGTTTAATAGTTTAAGAATTTGTATTTTTCTGCTGCTCCTTTATTTGCACTATGTTGTTTTCACTAGAACCGATGTACAACTGTTCCCTCGTGGAGGACATTAATTTGAACACTACCGGAATTACAGTTAATACGGGATTCTTCTCTTGCAGACATCGTATCCAGGATAGCAATGAATCTTTCGTAGATGTACCAGTGGCACACATTGCAAAATATGTACCATCGTTTTGCTCATGGACTGTAGGTGCAAGAATTATTCTTTTCTTATCCCAGAAAGGTATTTTAATATCTGAAACATCTATTAAAAAAAATCACATCAGTATTTTTCTATGAAAAAGCTTTACTCGAATATTTGGACAATTAATTTAATATTAATAATATTGAAAACATAATTTATGTCATATAATAATAATACTAATTTATACAAAACTTTTACTTGTCAACACCTGAATGATGATTCTTATGTATTTTTAGCTGTTAAAAAGAATATAAGATTGAAAAAGTTCCATCACTCACAGATTTCGAGAAACCAAGGATTTTTTTTTAAATCTCTAAACTTATGTATCCCAATCCTGGATATAATTATATAAAAATAATGACAAAAATTAGTAGAAAAGTTTTTCTTTAAGGTAGTGATTATTTACCATCAGGATCTTGATAAACATTATTCTTTTCTTTAGGTGCTCCTTTTAGAATAAAATAATCTATACAGTGATCCGCAACCCAAACTGTAAATGGTCCTTCGACAAAGATCGGAGTATCCAGAGGCTGCTTTTGTAATAGTTCCTCCTGCAAACTACTCATCGCAGATACGATCCACGTATCATCGATGGCATCCTCCACGTCCTTGGTCTTGAACTCTGCAATTTCGGTCTGAACATCTGCACTCGATATCTTATTCATAGCCAGCTTGGCAAGAACCTTTGGGTCCTTGGGCACCGGTGTGGGACAGGGCCATGGATTCAGATTGGCGAACTTGGGCATCCAGTACATCATCCGCCAGAACTTCTTCAACACCAGGGCTTGTACTCCGAAGATGTTCAACAACATCTCCTGCATCTCAACGTCTGGGATCACAGTGTTGTGCTCCATCTTGCAGAGCAGGTCGATGGCGACGTCCTGCTGCTTGGGATAGTGCGTTAATATAGTCTGAAAGTAGTTCTGGGGAATAAACTTGCCCTTGGGCAGCACGTCCAGCACGTCCTTGTACACCGCCAGGTCGCGGTTCACGCCGAACTCGTCCATGTACTTGAGGGCGACCTGAATGAACTCCACGTGGCCGCGTCTCATTTCATTGTTGGTCTTGTACTCGCGCAGGATTTCCAGGAAGGTCTCTCGCTCCTTGCTCTCGGCGTTCGCGAACGCGTGGAGCACCAGGGCCGATTGCTTGTTGTCCTTCTTGTCATCTTTCTTGCACCGTTCCTGGCTGGTGTGAATAGCGCGACTCAACGACCGGCCCTCGACCTCGCGCAGCGGTTGCCGCGACAACGCGGTGGCACTCGACGCGAGGATGGTCCGGGTGATCCGCGAGAGCATGTTGCTCGACTATTCTCTAACACGTCATCGTTGAACGATTAATTCGAATTTTACTTAACTTTACTCACAAAGTTTACGAAAATCTCGCATCTCTACGAGGTTATGATACACCACAGATTCCAACTTCCAACTTCCAACCTGAGACCACCTAACCTCTCTTTTCATTCTCCTCTAACCTCTTTCGTTCTGCGCTTCATTTCAATAATTTGATGTCAAGTCAAGCTGGATAACTGACATGTATTTCAAGTTTGCTTTTGGAAGATGAATGTTTCGTACATTTTATTCTTTTCTCTTTCTTTCTTTGATATTTAATTAGAAATATTTACAAATTTAATTCATTTTAATTGCAAAAAGTGTAATAAGTACAGTTACAAGGAACATTTGTGAAAAATCCATCGGCTTCTCTGTCTTCGAGAAACGCACGATCTCAATAATGTAAACTAGGCCGTGATAAAAAAACGACAGGATTTAGATTATGAAGATTTGACGTTTATTCGATGGTATACAATGAGCGAAAACTTGGAGAACATTAACCCAAAGCTCTATAAGAAATTAGATGACCGAGAAATCACAGTCGAAGAGCAAGACGAGGATGTCGCGGATGAATTTGACGCGCGAGAGATTTTCGGTAAGTATATAACCTTAAATTATTGATTTTTAATCAAAAATATACAGAATTGTAGATATATTTTTGTTCGCGTGTAAAATGTTTTAGTAATTGTTACTTGCGGTTATGAAACATTCATGTTTTTATTGATAATTGAAAATTCAGAACGTTATTGTGTTTGCTACAAAAACAGATCTATTCTCTTTAAAGATATTTCTAGTAAAGATTTTTCTCATAATGTTTATACGATTTGGAACATTTTTCAGAAATACTCAGAAATATTCGGAAAGTTTACATCTTCTTTCAGAATTTTTTATACAAGTAAATTCTGAAATATTTTGAAATTTCTCATCCCATAATTAAAAAAAAATATTTTTTAATTTTTTAGATTTTATAACATTTTTTGTCCGAAATTATACTTACAAAAAATCTTATAAATCTTAGGATATTTTATAATTAATGTACATAAAAAATTCTGAGAAAAGATGTAGATTTTCTAGGAAATATTTCAATTTGTTTAAAAAATGTGAGAAAGTTATAAAAAATTATATAGAAATTCTGAAAAATTACATAAAAAATTGTGAGAAAAATTTTTACCAGGGGTAATATACTAAATATATACATCATAAATTAAAGTGTTATACATTCTCTATTATAAGTACAACATAAAAAATTAATATTGACTATTAACTGTTAATTTACAGATATTATCAGGAACATCAATGATCCGGAACATCCTTTAACTTTAGAAGAACTGAATGTAGTTGAACAGAATCTCATTGAAGTAAAATATTTTTTTAAACAATATTGTACTATTGTATTTCGAAATTGCTTAAAACTTAACATTGCAGGTTGATGACGAAAGGAACAGAGTAGATGTAAAATTCACACCTACAATACCACATTGCAGCATGGCCACTTTGATCGGTTTATCCATTCGTGTGCAATTGCTACGTGCCTTACCCTCTAGGTTTAAGGTCAGTGTGGAAATTTCACCAGGTACTCACATCTCGGAGGCAGCAGTAAACAAGCAGCTTGCAGACAAAGAACGAGTAGCTGCGGCTTTAGAAAATTCTATGCTTCTTGGCGTGATCAATCAATGTTTGGCACCGAAAGATTAGCAAGTTGTATAAATTCCAAGATTTTCATGTTCAACCTTCCAACGTTTTTTTTTTATTGATTTCTTAGTCTAACTGAGCCACTGATGCCTGATGATATTTTTTAAAGAGTTTTTTTAGGCTCTAAAAAATCTAAAAAAATTCTAAACTCTTTTAGCATTCAAGAATACGTTTTTATAATGATCCGAAATGGTTTTCATGTTTTTTGTATGTATCCAAATTTGAGGCAGACTAATTCAAAATTGAAAATTTATTTGAATCTTTTTCTTCAAATTCTTAGTTGAATCACAAAAGGTTAAAGCAACAGTTTGTACATAGTTTTGCTGACATGTTTATATATTACAAAGTAATTCTCAAATTATAGTTTGCATAGAAAGAGTTTCCTGAAAAAATCGATACAATATAACTGATGTGAATAATGGATTTTGATGAAAAGATTTAATGTATATTATATTTATAATATATAATTTAATTTATACAAATATATTAAATTATACATTAAATTATGATATATATTATAAATATATTTGATGTAGAAATATATCAGTAATATTAATGTAAAACAATTCTTCGCTTTAAATTTAATTTGTACTTACTTTACAAGTTTACTATGTATAGTTTACAAATATTAAAAAGCGTTAATATAATTAGTAAAATTAATATAGATTTTAGAGATCCTAAAGTCATTTCTGTTTTACTAACTGAACGCAGTTTTTTTCTAACATCTTTGTTGATTACATAGAATTACGAATCCTTTTTCATGATTAAAATTTACAATATTGTTATTGATCCTTTAACTAAATATGAAAGCTTAATGCACAAATTTTTATCTTTTATTTAACTACATTTTTGCTTTTTTCTCAGTTTTTTAATAGCGATTTCGGCTGGGATGCACTAGTGTGCACTGATGCATATAAAGACCGTTGTACAATGAATAGCGATTTCGGCTGGGATGCACTAGTGCATATAAAACTGTCATACACAATTGCCGTAAAAATGTATTAAAAACAGATTAAATCGTACAATCCCCAATATATTTTATTGTACTGTTAATAAAACATGTATTTCATAATTTCCATTTCGTTTTTGCACTTATAGTGATTTCGGCTGGGACGTAAGGCAAGCAGGCTGAAATCTCTCTTTAACTGACACACTTTAGTTACGCGATTGTATCGAATCTGATCCATTGTTCTTTCGAATATAATATTTTGTCTCACCGAATCAGCGAATAGCCACGGTTCTTGACTGGCATAGGCAATCCTGCCGTTAATCTATGAAAAAATATTTAAAAGTACAATAGTATATATTAATTAGCTATGTAAATTAATTATGTAAATTAATTATACATATTAATTTATAAATATTTGAATTAATTAGAAATACATGTATATTTATAAAAATAAGTTGATTAAATAATTTATTTTTATGGACAAAATAGTTTATTTGATATTTATATATTAAAATTATTTAAATGTTTGCCATTAACTAAAGAGGAATCGTTAACATACTTGAATGGAGCCTTCTTGCAAACGCAATTCTTTCAGGATCACGTTCAATAGATTGTTCTTTCCCGCGCCGACCTGGCCGACAACAGCGATTAGTTCACCGGAACGTACCTTCATGTTGATGTTCAGTAAGGTATTTTCTTGTTCCTAATCTAACCACTTAGCATTTCCGTTCTTGATGGACACGCTATACTCGACATTGTTCAGTTGGTCTACGATTGCGCTATCGTTCTTCTTCTGCTCGATTAAATTTTCCTTCGAATTTTTCTTATTATTCTCCTTCACATCTTGTTGGTTATTCTCCTTTCCATTCTTATTATCCTCTTTTGTGTCCTTATTGTTCTCCTTATTGTACTTTGCTTTAATCTCGGATAGAGTCAGTTCGTCATACATGAGGAATTTTTGCAGCCATTTTATGGACACAATCGTTTCCGCTACTTGTGTTATTCCTGGGTTATCATAAAAACAAAAAAACAAATAAAAAAAATTAAAATGTAGAATAGAATAATTTACTTTGTATTTAACGTTAGATGTGATTCTTAAACGAAACTTTAATTTATTATGATATTAAGATAATAAAGTGCATAAAGTATAAAATATAATAATTGAAAAGAAGTAAGGTAACCAGCCGTTATATAATGTACGACCTACTGCTTGTTTATGAGAAATTATACGGTTAATTCAAGCACCGTATAATTTATACGGATAGTACTAATAAATCGTGCAGGCAGTCCATCTGATTTGATTACATTAGTTTGTCTATTCTGTTATTGTTAGTAAATCAAAATACATCAGAGCGTCGTAGTCGTGCGCGATTTTCATTAGCGAAGTTACTTATAATTTAAAGTATTTAAACGTTTCTTAACTTTGCAAAAGGCACACGTACACATACAAGTTACTTTCAATTTAATAAGCCGATTAAATTGAAATCGACTTGATATATACGTGTGTCTTTTTATTTTATAAAGTTTAGAAATGTTTGCTAGAAACTATCAGAGCATTGACTGCCTCACCTTGAAAAGGGATGAACATCAGAAGAAATGCGATACCAAAAATAGACGATATTCCGATGTCGATCAAATGGAATGTAATGTATGTGATGATGATGGTCTTCAAAGGCCGAGCCACAAATAATGGAGAAATATGATACTGACGTCGAATCTATTGACGTCGTTAGTTAGCAGATTAACTGCCTGGCCGATTGTCGTTTCGCCCAACGAGGTCCTAGTTAGCTTCAACGTCTTGCGGTAGATCAGCGAACAGTAGGCTACGCGAACCTTCATACCCAAATGAGTCATATCCATCATGTAAGGATGGACTACGAACACGTTAACAGCAGAGCACAAAATAATGCCGATGGCGCATTTGTACGCGTAAAACTTGTCGATGCCTGTGGTGTTAAAATAGAGCAGCATCTGACCCAACAATAACGGTTGCACTATTCTGCATCAAAAGAGGAAATTCGTCAGAATGTGAGAAATTTGCAAATTAAAAACTAGTTCAAAAATTTACATTCTAAATCTTAAAAATTTGTGAATTTTAATTTGATTTTAATTTCAAAATTATAATTATTATCGTATTCTTTCATGAAAATTCATAACATACAATTATATCATTAATTTAATTATCATAAATACATTCATTTAATTAGATCTTTATTTAGTTAAATCTTTATTCTTAATTCAAAATTAATAAAAAACTGAAATTTGATTAATAAAAACTGCTTAATAAAAGATTTAATACCACAGGATTAAATTCGTGTAATTTTTTATCATCAAGACATTGCCAATGCAAGAAATGTAAAATATTAAGACGAACAACTTCACAGGGTACAATTTCTACGTAAAAAATGAAAGGGAAGTTGTACCTGAGCAAGGTTTCTATAACGGCCATGAAAGTTCCGCACAATAGGGTCTTGAAACCGAAACACCTGATGAGGACTCTCATTAGGTTGGGCTCCTTGACCTTCTTCTGTGATGGCATTTCGCCACCTGCTCCAGCCGACACTGATACGCCTTCCATTCCTTCTTTCGCTATTTTAATACCAAGAATATCACTTGTATGCTCTTTAAGCGGTGTATACAAATCAGTTACTTCAAGATCTCGACGATAACCCTCCCAGAAAGTGCGTAGAATCCAACTGCGAAGAAGAAAAGCAAAGCAAACACGTTTTACTCGAATGAACTATCCGCAATTCGTCGAGGTTCCAGAATTTTGCTTTTCTCGTTGAAATACTAATTTTTTTCTCCTAATTTTCAAGACTATACTATCGCTTTACGTATTATCTTGGAAAATTGATCTGTATCCTTCTTTCCACTTTCAAATCAATAGAAACTGCGTCATTACACTTAAGAATCAAATATGGCGCAAAATAATCAGGACAATTTTCTTCTCGTAAAACTTGACATCAATTGTTTATATCTCGATTAATTTTCCAATTAAAAAATCCTTTGGCACAAAATTCTATTTTCCAGAGCACTATCGATGTATAAAATTAAAAAAATTTTTGAAAGTTGACTAATTCGCTTCACGTAGACTAACTCGTTATCGAATCGAAAAATGCGATAGTTTGTCAAAGTGTAACATCAAATGCATTAAAAATGAATAAGGAATGATTATACTAAAAAATAAAAATGGTAGGGCAATTATGTAATATAGGGGAGCCACCCTCTGATGATCTTGACTTTGACATATATTGTCAAGGTCATATGACATGAGAAAGTCGTGCGCTCCTAGGCAGGGGAGAGAAAGTGAGATGTTTTTAATATTATGTGTCGAGAAGTAAGACGTTATTTCGTAAAATTTTTTATTAATAACTTTTTAATGAATAACGAGTGAAAACGTGTTAGAAGTTATTCAGGTTCATGACCTTGACAATATATGTCAAGGTCAAGATCATCAGAGGGTGATTTCCCTATACTACATAATTATCAATGGTAGTTCCATTTTATACTTTTCATATTCTTAAACTGGAAACTTTTGAATCTTATATATCAAGTTATTACATTCTGTAAACTTTTGTCTGGATCGCATTACCTTCACTCTCAGTTTTATTATTTCTCTTAATCGGCTCTATCACGAATGGTATTTGTAGTTTACTATTTATACTTACGAAAACGTCAAGATGCTGAAAATGTTGGCATCCGCTCTGGGATTATTCTTCACTTTCTCGGTATACTCTTTCCTATGCATGATGAGTGTTTCATGTGAGTCTTTTCTATAAATGTATAACGGATCTTCAATACACACATATATTTCACATATATCCAGGTAACCAAGCGTGATTCTTCTATTCTTTTGCAGGAATTGTCTGTATAAAATATATACAAGTATATGAGACTTTCTAGAATTCTTTTATTTCAATGCAAAATGTTTTTTTTATTCATTTATATACTCACGTATAATGCTGTTTCGCAAGCGCAAACATGCGACAATTTATTGGAAAGTTTTATAGTATTATATTTATTTATATATTTTAATATATTTCTCTGGAATTTTGGATACAAAAATAAAAAAGCGCGTTTAAATTTTGTCTTAAGTCAACTTTAATAGTATTATCAATTCCTGACATAACA